ATTGACCTAGTTCGGTTTGACAGTACAAGGCAGTAAAACATATGGTACTTACGTCATGGGCCATCAAGTGAATGAAAAAATCCGAATATCCCCAGTATGGTGAAGTTAGATAAATATAGTAGTCTGATGCTCATGAGTAAGCTATATGAAATGTATATTTTAGAGAAGAGTTGTATAATATTTCGAGCACAGCTCGTCTTCAGATACATAGGCCGAATGACACATAAAAACACGACAAGAAACGACGTCGACATAGGATAGAAAACAACAATCAAACGCGTGGAACGTGATAAAACACTATAACAGGCGTGACAAAATATCTCGGAGCTTTACATCAGGAAAGATGGTGATAAATATGCAGTAATTTTAAAAATAAAAATTCAGCACAATCATACATATTGTGTTGAATTATACAATCATACAAATATACAATTATTTAATAATGTGGTGTAGACTAGACAGTTAGTGTGTACGTGTATAGGATGAGTATGGTACAGGGTTTAGCAGACGCCAAGACAAAGTATTTTTGTTAAAGGAAATAGTTCACTTTTTAACATGGGTTTTGAACTGGAATAGCAGTTCCGTAGCTTGGGCTGAGACGAGCATAAATCAGGAGCTTTTACAGCCCAACGATCACCCTAGGCAAAGATATTCTATTTCTCGTCCCGAAAAAGGTGTATTGCGTTGAGGATGTGTGCCTTGCATATATTCGCATCCAGTATGAAAAGAGCATGGGTCCCGAAAATTCTTCAGAAACTAGTGAAATTATCTACGAGAACTCAAGAGAAATTCTCGTACTGATCAATAAGGACATTCAGCAGCAGCAGATCGCCCAAATGCCGGTGGCCGCGATAATTTCTCTAGTTTCTGAAGAATTTTCGGAACCCATGCTCTTTTCATACTGGATCGCCTGTGCCTTACAGAAACTGAAAAGTTCTTCTTATATCAAAATATAGAAAATAATATTTTGTTATAAATAGGTTTTATTTTCTTTGCTGATCATTTTGAACATAAAAAATCATAAATCCATTGCAAAAAAAAAATAATTTCGTGAAAGTGAACTATTTCCTTTAAGAGCTGGATTTCGGTTCCTGATTTCGATAGACTCTGTGATCCTTAGATTTGCCTCATCTTTGCAGGTGTGGAGGATGCCTATACTAAAGTCACCATTGCCTATGTGTATGGTCGAGTGTTCAAAAAGTACATGATCCCCCAAGTCTGTGCCTCGCCTACTGTTTCGAGCGTCTCCAAGATGTTCCATGAATCTGGTGCGAATCATTCTTCGTGTTTTACCGATATACGTTTTACTACAAATTTTGCACGTTATTTGATAAACTACGTTTTTGGTGTGACATTTTCCAGGAATACCAGCATCGCAGGTGTGACAAGATTTCCTATTACCCCTGGGGCAGAGTGGGGGCTCTAGAGCTGATCGTATCAGTTTGCTGGCAAGCGTTGGGCCGCTTCGCCATGCTACCCGTACAGCCAGATCAGATGAGCGAGCCGCTGCGTTAACCCTACGTGTAAGAACTTCATCTATGTATGGAAGGGAAAGGAAAGTAACCTCCGCGTGTTTCTTAAAGCTAGCTTTTCTCGGGCCGTACCTTATAGAGTTCTGTATGTTTTTAATGAGCTTAGAGGGATATCCGTTCTGCAGAAATAGGTTCTCAATTTTCTTCAAACCTCGCCCTTGAGCTGCGGTGTCTGACCCGAGACGTACGGCTCTAAGAGATTGTGAATGGATCAGGGAACGTTTCGTTTGCATTGGGTGATTTGACTCAAAGTGTAGGATGATGGGAGCTGCCATGGGTTTTATATATAGCTCAGTTATGTAACTACCTGATTCCTTAATGGTGATAAGGGTGTCTAAAAAGGCAATCTCACTGGATGGGGTGTTGTCTGTCCTGTCAATGCTAAAACGTAGGGCTGGGTGAAAGCTATTTATAAAATCGAAATATTGGTTGAGTAATAGTGATCCATGGGTCCATATGCCGAAGATATCATCGATGTATCTTAGGTATATGGCAGGCTGATGTGTTTCCGTGCTTAGCATCAATGACTCCACAGCATTCATAAAAAGAATTGCAAGTGGTGGTGCAATACGACTACCCATCGCGATTCCTTTGGATTGCTTGTAAATGTCTTTGCCGAAGCGAACATAATTGTTGTTTAGGCAGTGTTCAAGGAGATGCTGAATGTCTGGTATTGTAAGTCCATAGAGGTCTATCTTGGATTGATGAGTTTGGATCATGCGTATGGTGGACGCAATCGCTTCTGCAGTGGGGATGTTTCCATACAAATTATTCACATCTACCGTGAATGCAATGGAGCCTGGTGGAAATCCAGTGGGGAACTGCCTTTTCAAACCATCTAGAAACTCGTACGTGTTGCTGAGGTGGGCAGGGACAAAGATCAGAAGCTGGGTGATAATACGCTCTAGAAACCAGGAGAGTTTATCGAGGGGGTCTCCGCATGCTGATACGATAGGTCTCATGGGTGTATCGGGTTTGTGAGTCTTGGGTAGCCCATAGAGCTCAGCCGTGCGGGATTCGTTGGGTTTTATCGCGTGAATGAATTTGTCTGGGAGTTTTCCCTTGAGCGTGCTTTGGATGACCTCACATGTTGTTTTATCAAGCTGTTTGGTGGGATTTTTTTCCACCGGCTCATAGTCTTTCACAATAGCTTCTGTTTTGTGTATGTACTCAGACTTTGTCATAAGTACTAAACCTTTGCACTTATCAGATCTTTTGATAATAAGGCCGTCATCTTTTTTGAGTTCTGCCAATGATGTCAAGTCAGTTTTAGAATGGTTTCCTCCCTTGGGTTGGCTATGCTTGCTATACAGTCCCATCCCCAGTATCCCCAGTATCCCACAGTACGCAAACAACTTCCTGTTTGTTCTCCCCCCCCCCCCCCACGTCTACTGCATCCCCAGAACATGATGACCAGTCATCAGGTGACGGCCATTGTTTTCAAACCAGTGCAGTGGACTGCGACTCCCAGCACCGTCTCATCCCACACACCCCCCACCCCTCACCCCCCAATGCAGCCGAGACGGGTGTCAGCTTACGATGATTCACTGAACTCCGATTCGCGGCGACTGCGTTTCCAATGCCATCGCTTCCTAGCCCTTTGTTCTGCCAGTTCTCTCCGAGGTGCGTTTGCGCGGGGACGCGGTGAGCCGGTCATGGCAAAGAGTAACGCGTATAACCAATCCAATTTTTCTTCCACCCGTATTTAACCCGCGCGGGGCTGGGGTCTCCAGCCGAACGCGCGGGGCTGGGGGGGGGGGGGTAAATTTTACCCCCCCTGTTATCTCCCGAACTAATGGTCCGATTTGGAAAATTCAAACGCCAATCGAAAGCTCTCATCACGAACTACTAAAAACATTTACTTAATTTAAAGTTTGAGGTCAAGGTCAAGGTCAGGTCAAGGGTACAAATTGCAAGTTTCTACAGTATCGGCCTTGCACCGTAGTTGCCGAAGAATGGAGTCATGGACTGAGACTGATCGCCCAAAACGTGTTCTTAGGCTACCAAGACAATATTAGTTGCATACAATATCATTCAGAGGTCAAGGTCAAGGTCAGGTCAGGTCAGGTCAGGTCACCAAAAAACAAAATATAGAAAAGGGCATGTGCGACACATGTTTTATGGGTCATTTTACTCATAGAATTCAATAGGCACACTCAATAAGTGATATGGACCACCTCTGGATGAATTTTAGGTCGAGGTCAGGTCAAGGTCAGGTCAAGTGAGGTCAAATTTTGAAGTTGGTTGTTAAGGCCTAAAAAGGTGTCTATCTGATGCAGTTTTTCGCGGCGAATCGAATGGTGCTATTTTGTTTCCGTACGAGGTCTAGAACTTCCAAAAAAGTCATTTTTCAAAAAATTTGTGTGTCGTGACGTCATAAAATTTTGAATAACTCCCACATTTTTAAACCGATTCTTCTAAAATTTGGTATGTAGGTGCACATAGACCACTTCTCTGACATATATTCCGGTTTTTTCGATAGACTCAAAATTTTGGATTTTATAATGATTTTCCCAAAAAAATTAGTTTTTTGAAAAAATTTAGGCCAAAATCCAAAATTTTCAAAAAAACGAGATAGCCATTTGATAGACAAAGTAAAATTACGTATAACCTTTTTTGTTACGTCTTGATTCCTTTAAAAATCAAGATGTTAGCGACGTTTGAACTTTTGCCGTTTTTGAGGCGAAAATGGCGAACATGACGTCACTAAAACGTCAATTTCTCAAAAATTTTCCGACGGATTTCGCTCAAATTTTCAGGGAAGGTGTCAAATTGATGTAAGAAAAGGTACTGAAAGTTTGGCGGCGCTGCGCGCCGCCGTTTTTGAGATATCGCAAAAATTCGCGAGGGGGGTAAAATTTACCCCCCCCAGCCCCGCGCGGGTTAATTGATTGCGTAGGGGATGTACTGAGTCGGAGCCGGAGCCTCCGGAGCCGGAGCCGCCGGAGCCGGAGCCGCCGGAGCCGGACCATTTTACTCGGAGTCGGAGCCGGAGCCGGAGCCGCCATAACATTTTACCCGGAGCCGGAGCCGGAGCCGGAGCCGATTTTTTTCTCCGGAGCCGGAGCCGGAGCCGGAGCCGTCTGAAATTTCCACGGCTCCGCATCCCTGATTATCAGATATGAAATCAGGGCCCGGTTTCACCGGTGATAGCAGCACGCTGCTTCAACACGTGTCAAATTGGGTTTCCATGGAGATGTCAACAAGCCCATTGCTCCAACACTACCACAAGTGTGACATCAACAGAATAGCAGCGTGCTGCTATCACCAGACACCAGTGAAACACCACACAGGTCAGAGGATATCATGTGATTTGCTTCTTCTTGGGGACAGGGGATCACACCAAAAGTAAATTGGTGATCAGTCCTAAAGAAAATAAATATCAATTTCAGCAGATTGATCATGTGGACAAGAGCAAAAGGGTTTTTTCCCTTCAACAAAAATATTTATCTCATCTCATGTGCTCACCTGCAGAAAGGTCAAGGTGAATGATGTTGCAATCCTTGCAAAAGTTACCCGAAGATCAAAATGTTCACATTGACAATGACATCAGAATCCTTGGATTTATAAGCCATACAAAAGCACCTTTAATACACCGTACACGTGCCAAGCTGAACCACATTCACGGTATATAGAGAACTGACTGACCGCATTGCAATTGCAGCATTGCAGCCCGCATTTGCCTGGAGTTCGCATTTGCCATGGAGTTCGTCAAGATCGCATTGAAACAGATGCGCCATTTGCGCCGTATATGGCAGCAATTTGGCAGCACAATTGATGCTTACATATCAGCTTTGCAGGTAAGTGCCACTAGTAGTCCTAATTTGATGACGTCAGTGGTAGAAAACAAAACAAGGTGGCGCGCACCCACCGCATATGCGTATGTAAGACACCTCAGTCTTCAGATACAGCCTCCGGTCTTACTGCATGTCTCTGTATTCCTGTGTTCTCAGCTTGACCGAACACACAACACACAACCAGCCGCGCCTCCGGCCGCGCTCCACACACACACCCTCTGCCCAGCGCTCTGCTCTGCTCTGCTCGCGCGCCGACGCGCGACCGCTTCCCGCCACAGCCGGGAACACGATTTAGCCGTGCATCCTTCACGGCTCTCGGCCACTAAATAATATTATACCTACTTACACTCCTCCCCTCCTATTGAACAATATGCCAACGACAGTCACAACAAACGCTTAATCAAAAGACCAGTGAGCAGGGTCGAACCGTTTCGGGGGGCGTACCTCACGCCCGAAACGGGTGACAGTTCGCGGCCGCTGATCCACATCCCGCGGCGGCTCGGCATCGAACGGCGGCGGCGGGGACGGCGGCGGAACATGTGGTACCTCCGGCCGGTGCGGCACAGCGTCATGGAGCGGTACAGGGTCAGGTGGCGGCACACAGTCAGGTCGCATCTCGGGCAGACGCGGCATCGGCACGTGCGGCAAAACAACAGGTTGCGGTACATAGCGGCCAGCTGTGACACCTTGGGGCGGAAATACAATTGGCGCCCCACCCATACCAGGCACACTATGGGGCCGGGCAATGGGCGTTCCCGGCACATCTCGCCAGAGAGACAACCCATGCGCTCTTGTCGCGGTCCTGTGCCCCTCACTCACAGCCGGCGGGCGCTCCACTGTGTTGTCCGGCTTCAAGCGGTTGTGGTGCACCACCAGACTGCGCCGCTTTCCCTCCTCGCGCACTCGATAGTTCACTGGTCCACATTGTTCTATGATCTCAGCCGCACGCCAAGGCCTCACAAACTTATGATATTCACCGCGCTTCGGTACATTGCGAAACAAGAACACTTTGTCACCCGGGCGATACGACCACTCGTTCATTCTGCGCTCATACAAAGCTTTGTTGCGGTCATGGGACAGCTGATCGCGCTTAACCACATCCTTAAAAGTAAGTCGGAGTGTCTCTCTCAAATCGTCTATGTACTGGGGGAAGGTTGGGGCCCGATCCACAACCGGCCGATCACCCAGCGAGGCTTCCGCCGGTAGGCGGGGCTCTCGCCCAAACATCAAGGCGAACGGAGAGTATCCCGTGCTGTCGTGCACCTGACTCCGGTAGGCGAGCATGAGCATCGGAAGATGCTTATCCCACTCCATGTGCTGCTCAACAAACTTAGCCAGCATGTTCAAAATGGTGCGATTGGCTCGCTCAGTCATCCCGTTGCCCATAGGGTGATAACTGGATGTCTGAGACTGCTGAATGCCGAGCAGTTCGCTCACAGCTTTCATCACCGCACCGACAAAGTTCCGACCTTGGTCCGAGTGCACACGTTTCATGACGCCAAAACGAGAAATAAACTCATTTACAAGAACATTCGCAATCGTAGTAGCCTTTTCATCCGCGAGGGGATACGCTTCAACCCAGCGTGTGAAGTGATCAGTGATCACTAGCAGGTGTTTGTAGCCTCGAGCGGTTTCCGGCAGGTTGGTCACAAGGTCCATGGACACCAGCTCCATCGGCTCGGACGCAGACAACTGCCCCATACTCGCACATGGGCGGGGAGTCGGAGAGTTTCGCGAGGCACAGCGGCGGCACTGTTCGCAAAACTCAGTCACCGTACGCTCCAGGAGCGGCCACCAAAACCTGAGTCGCGCGACTTTCGCCAGCTTTGAAGCGTTGAAGTGCCCACCCGACGGACCATCATGAAGCGACCCCAGCACCACAGGCACGAGCTGGGGTGGGACTACCAGCTGCAGCTGGTCGTGCCCCCTCGGCCCAGCCCGGAACACTCTGTACAGAACATTATCAATCAAACGCAGACGTGACCACTGCCTCCAGTACGGCAGAGCGCCCTTTGACACGGAGGACTGGGAGGGCCGCTGTGTGCTCCCAGCAAGCTGCCTCTTCACCTCCGCCATGGCGGGGTCTGAGTTCTGCGCCGAACACATGAAATCAGAAGGCCACATGGACTGAACGTGGCGAGCTGCGACGGGAGGCGACTGAAAATCCATTGTGTCTGTCTGTGTAGACACCTCCTGCGTGGGGTCCGGCCTCCGACTGAGCGCATCCGGAGCCTCATGTAGCCTACCTGGCCGATGAACAATCTCAAACTGAAACTCGCCCAAAATCTCCAGCCACCGCGCCAGAAGCCCGTCAGGGTTTCTGAAATTCACAAGCCACTGCAGAGCGGCATGGTCTGTGCGGAGCGTGAACTTACGACCCAAAAGGCAGACTTGTAAACGACTCAAATTTTTTTTGAGTCGATTCTTTGTTTGAGTCTGGAAATTTGAATCGATTCATCAAACGACTCATGATGTTAAATTTAATTGATTCGAATCAACTCATGACTCATCAAGTTCCTCGATAAAATGATTCGAATCAACTCATGACTCGAGCAACTAGCCAACGGAATGATTCGAATCAACTCATGACTCACACATTTTGATGAATCGATTCAAATCAACTCATGACTCACACGACATTTTTATTGAACTTATTTCATTCAACCCATGACTCACTATAGGCATTTGTTGATTATTTGACTCAAAGCTATGATAAAAAGAATATGCCGCATACCACAATTGTATTAAGCAGCATAGTAGGTAGCCTTGACCAAAGATTCAAGCAGCTACCTAGTAGGACTAGGTACATAGGTACCTACCTTACACCTACCTATCTTCAACACTCAACAGTCAACAGTGCAATGTCAGATAAATTTTTAAGTAACTCTGAGAGACAATTATAATATAAGTAAGGACTAAGGAGTAGCTAGTAACCTATCGCTTATTATTACCTAGAAAGTCTTATTTGAAAATTCAAAAGCACAAGTTCCGAGAGGCATTCATGTTTTTTTTAATCAAACTTTTTATACATGATAATGAGAGAAATGTTACTACTTCTTACTTATCAAATAAAATTATTCAAACAGTACAACCTCAAAAATAGGATTAATCCCACCTGTGAAACATTCAGCATCACCATCAGCAGGGACTCCATGGGCCACGAGGGCATGAGTGGCTCAGGCCTCAGAATCAGATATGATCTTGAGTTGAGACTCATTTGAAAGTAGTTAATGTAGGTATACAATATACATTCTCCAAACGGCACCTAGTTTAGCAGTGCCAACTCAAACTGGCTGCGGACAAGGAATATAAAAAAAATATTGTTTGTCTACAATTTTAGTTTAAAAATGACGTCATTGAATATTAATCGATATCAGGAGCACCGGAGCACTGACCAAGTGGCTCTTTTGCCTTTTGGTAAAAATAAATTGTCATTGGTGCAATTCGGGCAACGTCATCCGGCCAATTTGTCACGAGATTCAGACGTGAAAGTTATCAACTGCGCCATTAATGTAGTTTTCTTAAAACATACTATGACTTTCACATTCTATTCTCGAATTCATGACGTCACTCATAGTACCTACATATTTTAGGCGAATGTAGATCGCTGAGGAAATATTTCAAAGCCGCTCTTTTACATTATTCTGAAGATTCTATGATGTCATAAAACAAGTTTCTTTTTAAACTTCTATTTCATGGGAAAATGTGCATTTTGTGGTTTATTGGCAGTTGAGCATCGCAATTTTGCGGTTTATAGGTGAGTTTATTTGTATTATAGCATAGCCTATAGGTAGTTTATAGGCTATACATAGGTAGTTTGGGCGTATTTGACTCTATGGACGCCCAAACTCTCATGCTGTTGATTGATTATTGGGACCAAATTGGGACTGGGAGAAGGGGAGGCAGCCGCAGGTGTCAATTCTGACTTCTGACATGTAAAATGTAGGTACCTAGGTAGTGTAGCAGGCACTTGGTTTGGTAAGACTAAGTACCTACCAACTGCCAAATGCTTTTGGCTCATTAGGCGCCTGTGCCTGAGCCTCTGAGGCTCTTGTAAGTCTGAAATATGGAGTTAAGTGATGGCTAAAGCTGAGGGGGTGATCTAGCATTGATTATTAGGGTGTTGATGGTGACTTGTAAACGACTCAAATTTCTTTTGAGTCGATTCTTTGTTTGAGTCTGAAAATTTGAATCGATTCATCAAATGACTCATGATGTTAAATTTAATTGATTCGAATCAACTCATGACTCATCAAGTTCCTCGATGAAGTGATTCGAATCAACTCATGACTCATCGAAAAACGGTTTGATTCTGAGTCGATTCACGAATCAACTCAGAGTCGTTTACAAGTCTGCCAAAAGGTAATGTCGGAACTGCTGCACAAACGTCACAGCTGCGAGTAGCTCCTTTTTAGTGACTGAATATTGCCGCTGGGATTTAGACAGGCTTTTACTGTCAAATGCCACTGCCCGCTCACCTTGTCCATCCCTCTGCAGCAGAACCGCGCCCATCTTTGACCCTGAACAATCCACGTCTAGTACGAATTCGCTCGCTCCCGGGGAAAAGTCAGGGTATTTCAGAACCGGAGCCGTGCACAGCGCCGCCTTTAGCGAGTCAAAAGCCATCTGAGCCTCCGCATCCCAATGGAAGTCTACGTCTTTCCTGGTGAGGTGATGCAGCGGAGCCGCGATAGCAGCAAAATCTTTGATGTACCGTTTAAAGTACGTTGCCAATCCCAAGAACTGTGACAATGCCTTCTCATTCATAGGCACCGGCCAATCCTTTACTTTGTCTACCTTTTCTGGATCGGGACTGACCCCATCAGACGACACCACGTGACCCAGGTAAGTGATCTCTGATTGAAAGAAT